AAAAAAAAAAAAAAAAAAAAAATCAACTTTAATGTAAAATTCAAGTGTTCCATGGCAATAAACCATAACTGGCTTATTTTCTCTTACCCTTAGCAACATAGCCACCAAAGAGAATCCACATGGATGTAATCAGAGATCCAAAGGACAGCATGAAACCAATGAACAGCCAAATGCGAGCACCTTAAAAGAAATAATATTATACCAGAATTGCTTTTCATGTGGCACCACTCAGTTCAATTAACTTTTCAAGTAGGAAAAACCTGAAGTCTAAAATAAGAACAGTAGAAGGAAATGAGTCAAGGATCTTTGTTTTTGGTTGGGGGGCGGGGTTGAGATAGGGTCTTGCTAAGTAGCCCAGGCTAGCCTCAAACTGGTGGCAATCCTCCTGCCTCAGCCTCCCGAGTGCTGGGATTACAGGCATACACCATGACACCTGGTGATCATATATGACTCTGACTTTCTGCCTTAGAACCCATAGTCTCTGCTCTAGGTATCAATCCATCCCATGCCTGATCTGAAGAAGTTAAGAAATTCATATGAAATTCTCATTTTAAGGACACAAACTCTGATAGCAATATGTCTGCATTTATTTACCTGTTTGACCCAGACAGCCTTCACTGTAACTATCACCCCGGACTTGTCCATTCGAAACTGCATTAATCCTATGTGAATAAAATAAAATCAAGAATTAGGGTCTCTAACTCCAAGAAGAAACTGTCTGTGACATCAGAGTGTCAGATATAACAAGTTAGTGTTCCCAAACCCAAGCTGGGGCTTGCACGATCTCAAGCAAATGCTTCTATCAGGCATTATCTCAAGCTGTGACTGTGGGCCTGGCAGCCTCAGCATAATCTGACAATTTGTTTGAAAACTCTCTGACCTTACCCCAAACCTAGCCAAGTAGACCATTTGGTCTCGGAGGCCAGATATCCATGTTGTAAAGTTTTCCAGGTGATTCTGTTGCTTGTTAAAACTGAAGCATGAAATTTTCAAAACATTATTTTGCTAAAGTTCTCCATTTGCACACATCAGACATTCTCAAGTCAGAGCCATGGATGGCAATGGCAGAGAGGCAATGAGCCTCAGTTGAACCAAAATTACTTAACATTGACTATGCAATGACTTTTTATAATTTTGTATTAATGTCTAATGTTTGAAATAATCATTATATTCCAAAATAACAGTATATTTTAACCAGAGAAGATCAAAGAAAGATTCAGGTGGTAAAATTCTGCTTTTTCAATCCTTGGTACATATTCTAAATACAGGAAACATTTCAGAGACTTTCTCAGAGTACCACCCTACGTGGCTTTGCCTTCCTTCTTTTTTATTGTGCCAATGGGGATTGAACCCAGAGTCTTCACACTGAGCTGCATCCTCAGAGCTTTATTTATTTAATTATTTTGAGACAAGGTCTTGCTAAGTCACTAAGTTATCCAGGCTGAGCTGGAACTTGCAAACCTCCTGCCTCAGCCTCAAGAGTTCTGGGAATAGAGGCCAGTGCTACCACACTCACTTGCCTTTCTAAATGTCCTTTGAAAAAATTTAAATATCATGGGAAGATATTCACAATATGTCAAATTAAAAGTTATCTACATTTTATATATACCCAGTTAGTTTAAAAAAATGTTTATGCATCCATCACTAAACATAAATTTCGTGAGGGCTGGAGCCATATCTATCTTGTTTCACATTTCTGCTCTCAGTGCTCAGCACAAATTTAGCAAATAATGGGTGCTCAATAAATATGTTGAATGTATGAGCCCTGTTTGTGTTTTTTTTTCTTTCACAAAAATACACAATCTTATTTATGCAAATCTATGCTCTAGAAGGAGCAAAGTACTCTGCTGGTTCTAAGAAAACTGAACTACCACATGACTCAGCAGTTCTACAATTCTTGGGTACATATCCCAAGGAAATGAGATTGGTGCATCAAAGAGACATCTGCACTTGTACTGGTGTTTACTGTTAAATGAATGGGTGAAGAAAATGCAGCACACATATACAAGGGAACGTTATCTAGTCATAAAAAAATGAAATTCTTCATTTGCAGCAACACGGCTGGAAATGGAGGACACTCTGCTGAAACAAAGTAAGTCGGGCAAAGGAAGACAAATGTCGTCTCACTAAAAGGTTCATCTCGTAGTCGTTAAAAGCAGAATAGTGGTTACCAGAGCCCGGGAAGGATACGGGAAAGAGAATAAAGACAGGATCATTAATGGGTGAAGTGCAGCTGGACAGGAAGAGGTAACTTCTTTTTTTCAGGGAGGGGGTGGTGGTGGTGGTGGTACTGGTGATATTGAGACAGGGTCTCACTATGTAGTTCAGTCCAGCCTTGAACTCACTATGTAGACCAGGCTGGTCTCAAACTTGTAGTGATCCTCCTGCTTCAGCCTCCCTATTAGAATTACTTCTGATGTTCTACAGAACAGGGTAACTATGAGTGACAATAATTACCTGCATATTTCAAAATAGCTATTAGAGAGAAATTTGAATGATCACAAAGAAATGATAACTGTTTCAAGTGATGAATATCCCTAATGTGGTGGCTGTATATATGTATTGAAATAGAACTGTACCTCATAGATATGAACAATTATTATATGTAAATTAAAAAATTTTAAAAGACTCATAATTATTTGTGGTGGTTAGTAGATTGTCAGCCTGAGTGGGGAATGCCCAACTGAACTGAGTCAGCACAGTTCTAGGCATGGAAAACCCTTCAGCCATTTCAGTGACAATTAAAAGTTTTAGTTTAAAAGGTCTGCTGGGTCATAGTCTAACACATAGTCTAATACAAGAAGATTTAAGTTGAATCAAAGAGATGGAAAATACTGATAATAACATAAGAGTCAAATCAGTTATGATTCTGGACCAGAAACCTAATAGAATTTGAGCTCAGCAGGAAACACTGTCTCATAGAGTACATCCAAGCTCCATAGTTGGGGCTGCTTCATAGGGCAACAAAATAATTTTTTTTTCTGGTTTTTTGAGACAGGGTCTCACTATGTAGTTGGGACTGATCTGGAACTATGTAGTCCAGGCTGGTCTCAAACTCACAGTGATCCTCCTGTCTCAGCCTCCCGAGTGCTGGGATTATAGGCATGCACCACCATGCCTGGCTAACAAAATAAGTTTTTAAAGAGCAAACTAAGAAAAAAAGTAGAGCAAATAAATAATATCACAAAAGTCAATCTTCTAAATCAGAACCAATGTTGAAATGTGTGTGGTCAGCTTTTAAAAAGGATTCTATGAGGGCTGGGGATTTAGCTCAGTGGTCCTGCCGCCTGCCTTGCAAGCACAAGGGCCCAAGTTCAATCCCCAGTACCAAAAAAAGAAAGAAAAGGATTTTATGAGCATAACTATTTCAATAAAGTAAGTTGCTCCAAAATGGCAAGAACGAGAAATACCTGCTTTCTAGCTGAACTTCAAAGAAAAAGACTAAAGCCCTTCGCTAGCAGGTGGCTTCTGAAGTCAGACCTCTACTTCAAGCAGGGATGAAGTTCCTCCAGTCAGTCACAGGCCATGTGCTTACTTAAAAAAATAAGTTATTTTGTTCATACTTACTTCACAAGTGCAGCCAAGTTTAAAAATGTGAGAAGTTTTGACCTGGTTTGGTGAAAGCCTGGAAGAAATGACTCCAAAATATTACCGTCAAACATCTGCAGAAAGCTGACTGACAGCGGTCATGTTCAGGCAGGGAGGACTAACTGGGAAGGAGCGAGAGGGAGCACTTTGTGGTGGTGGGAATGTTTTAAATCTTTGGGCAGCGTATAAATAAAAAGTTACTGATACAAACACACACACACACACACACACGCATATGATGTGTGCACTACAAGTACCTTCCGGAATTTATTGATACTGAATTTTAAATGACAGAGGGAAATAAACTATTCAGAGGTTCTGTTTAACAATGTCAGAAAAAGGACTTCCAGTTCACCGCCTGCCTCATAAGCCTAAGGACCTGAGTTTGATCTCTGGTACCAAAAAAAAAAAGGAAAAGGACTTCCCCTTCCTCTCTTTTTCAAAAGCCCATTCAAAATGAAAATAAAAGAAAAAAAAATAACATCAGAAAGGTTGATCTCCTCAGCAGATGAAATTTCAACCGAGGAGGGGCCCATGCTTAGCATTTGCATGGTGAGGGGTACAGCACAGGGCGTCCTTCCAACAGAAGTGGGGACAGGAATGAAGGGGTGCTGGAGGTGGATGGAGTGAGGAATGGGGCTGAGAACACAAGGATCAACCCAAGGTCCAGAGATGGAAAAAGGGATTCCCACCTCCAAGATCAAATAATAAGTATCTCAAACCTGTGGGCCACACTGTCTCTGTCAAATCATCACAAGTAAGCAGCCACAGAGCCCAAGTAGTGGCACGGGTGTGACTGTCCCAACAGAACTTGATTTATGCAACAGGCCTGGCTACAGCTTGCTAACCCCATATGGCCTAGAGCACCCTGGGTGACCACTTGCCCTCTTTAGGAAAGGGGAAAAAAGTTTTATCTTAAGTAATTGAAAGAACTCTTTGGAAAGAATTACAGCAACTAGTGAGAACGATGCCAGGGAAAAGTCCTCTTTAACCCTGATACCTGGAAGGCTAGCTCCTCGCTACTTATCGTATGAGGAAGCTCTGACCCAGGATTACAGCTTTCACTCAATTCTCTTTGACTGTTTCCTAAATAATAATGGGTACCAAGAGTCACCAGACAGCTGAAGAAAGGCCTATATCACGCTGAAGAAAGGCCTAGTTAAACATAAAGGCCCCTACAGGAAGCACCTGTAATTAAGGAAACATAAAGACACTTGAAATGAGAACCTGCCCTTGGAAATTCAAACATGAAGCTAGAAATGAAAACCCTGAACAGGCTGGAGGATGAAGGTGAGGAGATCTCTTGGACTGGAGATAATGTGGGAGAGGAGAGATGACAGGAAGACCAGGAAAGAACTGCTATTTTTCTGTACATTCTTCCCTACTATTCAATTTTTAAATCATATCCAACTTGATAATATTTAAACATTTTAAATCTTATGACTACAGGTAAAATAATGTTAGATTTTGACCATCTGTATAGATGGTGTCAGTAACAACACTTACATTAGGAAGGCTATGGTTGCTATAACACCACAGGCATGATACGAGTGGTTGAAATCTTCCATACTGGGATAAATAACGGCTGCATCTATGATAATCCACCAGCCTGTGAAAAACTAAAACAAAAAGAGGTGATACTAATGTGAAATTACAGCAATATATCTTACTAGCTAAAAAAGGGCAAGGTATTTAGGAGAAGATGCTCCTTCTAATGAATTTCAAGTTTCCTTACATGTGACATAACTGCATATAATCTGCACATGCCTAAAAAGCTGACTAAACATTAGATACCCTAAACCTACTTCATTTCATATTGCCGTAATAAATTCTGCAATCCAAGTTTGTGAACTACAAATACGGAGACAGGAAAAGATGACTCAAATTCCAACCTACAGAAGAAATACCCTAATACTGATATAGTAGCAGCCTCTAGAAAGATGTTACTAAAAATGAAGAAAAAGTATTTAAATTAAAACGCAGAACAATTGTTGGCAGTTGTAGCTATTCTCTTGATGTTGTGAAATAACAGCTCCACAGTTATGCTTTTTACTTCTGATGAATTACACTGTAGTCTTTTTGCTTGTTTGGGGTTTTCTTGTTTTTTTTGAGACAGGGTCTCACTACATAGTTCAGAACTGAGTATGTAGCCCAGTCTGGCCTTGAACTTGTGATCATCAGTGCTAGGATTCAGCGTGTGACACCATTGCTGGCACAGTGGAATCTTTAGATGGCATCATGTGTGATTTTAAATTCAACCTGAGCACCAGATTATAATTTATTTAACTGAACTTGGTTCTGGATTATCAAGGGTGAATGTATAATGAAAAAAAAAAAAACCATAACCACACAAATACTCATTATCTGAGCAGAAACTTACAATGAAATAGTACCAATAATGAAAAAAAAAAACCATAACCACACAAATACTCATTATCTGAGCAGAAACTTACAATGAAATAGTACCGTTTAGAAGGTGAGCAACCCCTTTCCCCAATCCTACTTCCCACCCTGACCAAGTCAGCTCTGGAAACTGCCATTTTTTTGGCAATTGTTTTACAGTAGCTATTTTAGGCTAATCAAATTAGTTTCAATGGGTTATACACAGAGCCATATGTTATTAATGACCTTTCACTGGCTACTATGAGTAATGGCTCATTTTATTTTTTATCCTCAGTTCAATCTAGTCAAGATATTTTCTTCATTAGACAAAAAGTTAAAAGTCTTAAAAAATATTTATAACAGCAGAATTTGTACATAAGATATTAGGTCGAAGAAGAGATAGACTTAGACTTTTATTAATTTGTTTACTTAAAATTTACTTAGGGGCTAGGACAAAGCTGAGTGGTATAGTGTGTATGAGGCCCCAGGTTCAATTCTTGATACAAAAAGTACCAAGTTAGTTAGTTAATTAACTCGTCAGAGCATATGGCATTCTAAGATCATGAAAGACAAAGATTAAACTGGGTGTGCTGTTCCATGCTTGTAAACCCAGCATTGGGAGGCTGAGGCAGGAGGATCACAAGTTTAATGTCAGCACAGGCAACTTAGTGAGATTCTGCCTCAAAATAAAAAAAGGGTGTGGATATAGCTCAGTGGAAAGGCTCTGGATTCAATATCCAGTACTGTAAAACAAACAAACAAAAACCAAAAATAATAAAAAGCAATAAAATACAAATATCAGATTCCTTGAGGACTTTGCAAAGTAAGTAAGAATTTTATTCTGGACCTGGGTGTGGTGGCACACACCTATAATTCCAGCATTTGGGAGGATGAAGCAGGAGAATCACCATGAGTTCAAGGCCAGCTTGGATTATATAGTGAGTTCAAGGCTAGTCTGAACTATGTAGCAAAACCTTCTAAAAAAAAAAAAACCAACAAAAAAAATTTTTTTTAATGAGTACGCTGTTATTTTTTCTTATGAGATTGAAAAGAAAGTTAATTCTAGGTTAGGGAGAAACACAACTAAATCTCTTGACTGGTTTTCACCTAATTGCTTCTCTGACACTTCCTTGTGCCTTACTGTACTCATCAAAAGAAAGCATAATCCATAGAATGAATAAACATATAATATACAATATTTGATTATGTCATTTTTATCATTCAGTTAAAATAGCCCAAGCTACTGATCAAATTTCAAATATATAAATAACAAAACAATTATTAAACTAAATTCAGTGTTCAAAGATTAAAATAAAAGCACAATTTTAAAACATCTTCAGAATTCAAAACATGTAACAGAAACACATTAAAACAATGAAGGCCCAAAAACTTACCAGAACACCAGCAGCAATGGAAGCAATAGTATTGCGCTTTTCCCCCCAGTCAATGCATTCTGAGCATCTCATACCTTCTAGAAATCCAGACATGTTTTCAAGTCACTTCAAAACAAAGAAAAACAAAATAAATACCTAAATGAAGTACTCTGATTTATTTGTTTCTCACTTGACTTATGTCCCTGGAAAAGTTAATAGTTCCGGAATAATTTAATAGAAGTTACAAATGCTTTACTTTAGCTCCACATACTTCTTGAATATTTGATTTAGCTTTTGATGAATTGTCACATTATGATTTTGGGAAACAAAATTTGGATATGTAGCTGGGTGTGGCAGTACACGCCTATTGAGGCAGGAGGATAGCCTCTGAGTTTGAGCCCAGCCTGGGCTACACTGGGAGTTCAAGGCCAGCCTGGACTACATTGGGAAACCCTGTCTCAAACAACAACAAAATACCCTGAATTTGTCCTAGCTTTTTTTTTTTTTTTTTTTTTTTTTTTTGAGACCGTCTCACTATGTAGTTCAAACTGGCCTTGAACTCACTATGTAGCCAGGCTGGCCTCAAAATTGCTGCGATTCTCCTGCAACCCAAATGCTGGGATTATAGGCATGCACCACCATGCCTGGCATTGTTTTAGCTTTTTTTCAATTTAAAAGATGATTTTGTATATTTAAGCAGTATGAATAAAGGTATATTTAAGTAATATGAACAAAGATGGGTAACCAAATATTGAAAAAATTTTAACTTTGGTTGACCTCCTGAAAACTGTCAGATCCTATAATTTCCACAAATATTAACAAATTAAATGACCCCTTAATAACCGAGTATTGTTTACTTTTCATATTACAGTCCAGGAGCACTAATACAATCAGGAGGTGATAAACTTGGGCTGAGTTAAAGCACAGGTGAAAAATATTTTTCTGGGGAACTTATGTATTTTTTCATAGAACCTTTGTTTCTTCCCACTCAGATTAAAAACACTGCATTACAGACTCACTGAGAGAGAAATTAGGGAAACAATTCCTTTCACAATAGCATCCAAAAAAAATGAAGTATCTAGGAATCAATCTAACAAAAGAAACAAAAGACCTCTACACTGAAAACTACAGCACTCTAAAAAAAGAAATTGAAGAGGATATAAAAAAATGGAAAGATATCCCTTGCTCCTGGGTAGGAAGAATCAACATAGTGAAAATGGCCATACTACCAAAACTGCTATACAGATTCAATGCAATGCCAATTGAAATTCCAACACTATATTTCACAGAACTAGAAAAAAGATTCCAAAAATTCATTTGGAACTGCAAGAGACCTAGAATAGCAAAAGCTATCCTAGGCAACAGACATATGGCAGTGGGTATAACTATTCCCAATTTGAAACTATACTACAAAGTCACTGTGATAAAAACAGCATGGTACTACCAAAGAAACAGACCTGAGGATCCGTGGAACAGACTGGATGACACAAAAACAAATCCAGATGTACTCAGCTACCTCATCTTTGACAAAGGAGCTGACCATCCTCAGTGGAGGAAAGATAGCCTCTTCAATAAATGGTGTTGGAAAAACTGGATTTCAACCTGTCACAGATTAAAACTGGACCCTTATCTTTCACCATGCACTGAATTAAAATCCAAGTGGATGAAAGATCTAAATATTAAAACAGAAACACTAAACTTGCTGGAAGATAAGTTAGGCAGAACTCTGGAAGACACTGGCATAGGAAAAGACTTTATGAACAAATCCTCAGTAGCACGGGAACTAGCAGAAAGAATCAACAACTGGGATCTCATCTTCTTAAAAAGCTTCTGCACTGCAAAAGAAACCATCAACAGAACTAAGAGACAACCTACAATGTGGGAAAAAAATTTTACCCGCTGTTACTCAGACAAAGGTCTATTATCTAGAATATACAAAAAACTCAAAACAATCAGCCCCCCAAATATAAAGACCCAATTAAAAAACAGGCATCTGAAATGAACAGACATTTCACAGACAAAGAAGTAAAAGCAGCAAGTAAATATATGAAAAAGTGTTCCACATCACTGGTCATTCGAGAGATGCAGATGAAAACAACACTGAGATTCCACCTCACCCCACAAAGAATGGCTGCTATCAAGAAATCAAACAATAACAAATGTTGGCGGGGTTGTGGGGAGAAAGGAACCCTTCTCCATTGTTGGTGGGAGTGCAGACTGGAGCAACCACTATGGAAATCAATATGGAGACACCTCAAGAGCTGGGACTAGAGGTTCCACTTGACCCAGCCATCCCTCTGCTGGGTATCTTTCCAAAAGAACTAAAAGAATCATATCACAGTGATATATGCGCACCCATGTTTATAGCGGCACAGTTTGTAATAGCTAAAACTTGGAAACAGCCCATTTGCCCATCAATTGGAGATTGGATAAAGAAGATGTGGTTTTTCTATAAAATGGAATATTACTCGGCCATAAAGAATGAGAATTTAGATTCATTCATAGGAAAATGGATACATATTGAGGATATACTCCTAAGTGAAATAAATAAGTCACACATGTGTAAACACTGAATAGTTTCTCCAGTGTGAATAAACTGTAATAGTACATAAAATCCTAATAAGATAACTGACATTGTGAAATGGGAAGCAAGGGGCTAAAAGGTGTAGGGAAGGTGGGATGGGTAGGGGAAGAGTAATAAGGGAAAAGAAAAAAATGTGAGAAAATAAAAAGATGGAAATAAAGTGTTTGTAAATGGGGAGGGGAGGAGGCGGTGAAGGGAGGGCAGGGACAAGGGGAAAAAATGAGAACCAAGACCTGTCATGTAGAGGTACAAGATCCCAACAATGAATGTAACTGTACTGTATCCCTAAAATGTACCAATAAATTCAATTATTTAATAAAAAAAAAAGAACACTGCATTGCAGGTTTTACCTCTACCTACACCCTTTCCTTTCACTTTATTAGTTTTTCCTTCTTCAAGTCTGCCTTTGGTATCATTTCTATGTAAATATCCATTTTATTTTACTATAGCCTCAAAAAAGCAGACCAAAAATAAGTAACTCACTGCTACTGAAATTACCATAACTGGCCTAAATTACCTTAACAAATTACATAAAACCTTCCTACAAGTTCAGTTGTGCAGAACTGGCCTGAGACACACCCACGTTCTCTATTTCAGAATATGAAAAAAATTGAATTCCCTACAACTTGCTAATAGTCAAGAAAGGCCAGGCATGGTGGCGCACACCTGTGATCCCAGCACTTGGGAGGCTGAAGCAGGAGAATCGCTGTGAGTTGAGACCAGCCTGGGCTACGTAGTGAGTTTCGGGTCAGTCTCAACTACATAGTGAGGCGCTGTCTCAACAAACAAACAAACAAGAGTAAGAAACACCCAAACTCCCACAGCTACTCTGTAGCCAACAGTGATGACAATCCAAAACCATGATGCCCTAAAAGTACGACTTCAATTTTTTATCGTTCGTTTTGAAAATTAAATATTAAAACTATGATTACAACCAGTGCTAATATACCTTTGGGATGAGTTCAGATACGAAAATTCACTTTGTTCTTCCCTGAGAAGAACAGCAACCCATTTTGTTTTTATTTTCGGTTTACCCTAATGACCCCGCCTTGAATCCATTTTTCTTTGCATGACTACTGACAAACTCGAACCCAAACTCCGCCCTCCAGACTCCGAGAATTGCAGATCCAGAGAGTGGGCTGGGGACTTGAAGATCTGGAAACTAGTTCTAGTTCCGCCACATCTCTCGCGGCGGAACCAGCCAGTTACAGTCGCTCTCGGGGTCTGTGTCCAGCCCCAAAGCAGAGGGACAAGATGACTTGCAGGGTTCACCGTGATGTCCCGGGCAGGGCTGCAGTGCCCTCCCGAACTCCCTCCCCCGGACCGAGCTTGACGAGTCTTCCGCGGTCGCGCTGTCCCTGCCGCCGGTCACAGGACAGGAGGAAGTGGTCAAGATGGTCCAGCGAGGCGCAGCTTCCCACAGGGTAGAGGCAAAGACCCGTAGGCGTCAGCCGCGCCCTGTCCAGCCTGCAGCTGCTCCCCCTCACCGTCACCCACGCGCACTTACGTCCAGCCCTGACCGTACAGTAGCTCCGGTGTCCGGTGTCGCGCCGCGCGGAGCCGCCTCACTGCCCCTAGTCTCAGCCTAGAAAACAAAACCACCCCAAGCTGCCGGAGCCCGGATGTAGCAGCTCCGCCCCCACCCCACCCCCGGGCCAGTTTGCGCATGCGGAGACTGGGCGGAGGGCGGGTCGCGGAAAGACCGGTAGGGGCGGAGGCCTGCTGCGCCTACTGAGTGGAGGAGTCTGCGCTGGCCCGGGGGCGCGCCGCGGCTTTCCACCCGGGTTATCGTCTGGGGTAGGAAGTGCTCGTGCGCGCGCCTTTTAAGGGTAGATCCCAGGAGTCGCACTTTTGCCTAAACTCTGGAAACACAGGTGTCGCGGCCTCAAAATCCGTCCTGGATGAGGCGGCGAGTTGTCTAGTGCTGGGGTCGATCTCGCAGCTGTCTCAGCCGTGGGTGGCAGGTAGTGTTTTGTCTTGCGAGGTGCAAAAATTGGCTGCAGGAGTGCAGCCTCGCAGCACTGGGTGTTTAGGGTTTTTAAGTACTCTTTTTTTTCCTAGGAGCATTGCAGCTGCGCCTCACAGAGACGGGTGGCTCCGGCCCAAACCCCGCTCTGTGACTTTCTTCCAGGACTTGACCTTTCTTTGCTTTGTTTTATCAGAGGGGTTTCTCGGGCTCTCATTACTGACTTTTGGGGCTGGATGATCCCGTTTATGAGAGCTGTCCTGTACATTGTAGGATGTTTATCTGTACCGTCTTCTATCCACTCGATACAAAGCAGCTCCCCCAGTTGTGACAACCAAAAATGTCTATAGGTTTTGGCAAATTATGCCCTCCCGGGGAAAATAGCCAGGTTGAAGAGGCCACTATTTAGAGGATATCCTGAGTTTTCGGTAAGTGACCCTTTGGAAACAGGATCAGCCTAAAGCAGTGATGCTTTAGCTCAAGGGTCTGCTGGCCACGACGACCTTCTTACAGCAACTGTCTTTCAGTCCCGTCCCGTCCCCCACCCCCACCCCCCGTTTCTAGTGATTAGTGGCT